CTGTGAGCCGTGGCCGCTGAGCCTGCGCATCTGGAGCCTGTGCTCCGCAACGGGAGAGGCCACAACAGTGAGAGGCCCGCGTACCGCAAAAAAAAAAAAAAACTTCAGCTCAAGAATACACAGTCAAAAATGTGTTTATTACCTATTCCAGTCCATGAAAGACAAGGAACAAAGGAATGAGAGATTGCACTTAGGTGTAAAATCACACCTAATGTTTTGACCCGAGTCATCAGTTTAGTGAATATTTATTAAACATCTATTTGTATCCTCCAGAATTGAGGGGGCTGTAGCAACTCTTCACAGGTCTTCAGCCGTTTTAGCAAACTTTCAAAGGCTCTGTTCCAGTTGGACCCCTTGTGGTAGCGAACCAGCAAGCGAGTCATTGTTTGGACCACGCTGTGGCCAGAACGGTGTCTGGGGTTGGTGTAATTCAAGGTGGATGCTCCTGAAAGGCGAGGTGCCTGTCCCCAGAGCTGCTCCACCAAACACGGAGCACGTCTCCTAAGCTGGGGATTCTCCCACGAGTTGCTCTCTGGTACTCTGGGAGGCGCTGTAATTTGTTTCCCACTAAAGGGCCTCCCCCACCCTTCTCCAGGACATAGGGGGGTGTCAGCCTGACCACAGAGGTCTGCTTCTCTCCCCACAGGAGTTTCTGAAAGAAGGGACACTGATGAAAGTAACAGGGAAAAACAGACGCCCCCGACACCTGTTTCTGGTAAGTACCTGGCCCCTATCCAGGCCCCAGGACTGTCAAGTTCTGTAAAGTGTTCTGGGACAGTACTGAAGGACAGCTGCAAGCAAAGGTGAGACTAGACCAGAGCCTAATCCTTAGGGTGCGGATCATTCTGAATAGCCGAGCTTTCCAGAAAGCCGAGGGCTTTACAACCCATCCCTAATGTATTACTTGAACGATTTTGAGGGGAATGTTTCCAAAATTTAATTACCCAGGTGCCCATCCTAAAACCAAGAAGTTCTTAAACCGGGAATAGCTGTTCAACTGCCTTATCTAACAAGCGAGAAGACTGAGATCCAGAAAGGAGGGTTGACTTGGCCGGATCTCCCCGCAGGTCGGTGGCAGAGGTCCAGAAGGGAACCAGGGTTCTGACCTGAGCCCAGCCCTTTCTCCACTGTGCACAGGATGGGATATACGTAACATTTTTGTTGATTTACTGCCACAGTCTGGAACACCAGGGAGTGTCCAGGCCTGGGGTGTAGTAACATCGCCCTCAGCGGCTACTGAGCTACAAGCAGCGCTTTGCCCCAGTCCTGAGACCCGGCCCCCCGACCCCCGCCCCGCAAGCAGTTTTGCCTTTTAAGTTCTTCTCTCTGCTGGATGTAATTTTTCTCTCTGCTCCTTCGCCGTTAGCTGTCATCTCTTGTTACTGTCAGTTGTGGCTGCCCTGACAGCCTCCTTACACTTTGTCACAATCGTGTGCAGAGTAAAAGGAGAGAGGCTCCGAGGCAGTGTGTAGGAACAGGCCGACAAAGAAAGGGCATTGGAGGAGTGAGAACAGCATGGACAGGCGGAGAGGCGGGAGGAGCGTGGTGTGTCCGGAGGACCTCTGTGAGTCTCGTGGAGTCATTGGCTGCAGATGGGGTCTTCCACTCACGAGCTGGGTCTACACCAGGCCTCAGATAGATCCTCTGCCACTCGGGGACTGAATTCCAGAGAGGGCTCATGGTCCTGAGCAGGGGAATCCTGAGCCTGACCGAAGCGGCACGTCTGCGGCTGCCCATCAGGGTTTGGGGAGCCTCTGTGGCACGTGTCCCGAGGCCCCAGCCCGACCTCAGTGGGTCACTCCACTCCTCATAGAGCACAAGGGGCGCCGAGCTTAGAGGCTCTTCTCCCTCTGTTCCCTCCTCGCAGCCACCTGTCACCTCCTTGGAGAACCCCTCCCTCTGGCTGGCTGGTGCTGCAGTGCAAGGCAGGCAGCGTGGTCCTGGACCACTCGTAGTGCCCTGCGTGCTTGTGGCGTTGCCATGGCAGCAGGGGCTCGAGGGGCAGCCGCAGGAAGGCTGGAACTGCTGTGGTAGCGACACAGGAGGGTTCCCCAGGGTGGGCGGGGTGTGGCCACCACCAGCACACTACCCTGCACACACTTGGAGGCACCCTCATTTACTCGTGACCCTGGCTCTGCCACTGATGAGCTTTGTGATCCTGGGAGGTTGTCTAGCCAGTCTGTGCCTCGGTTTCTCCCTCTGTGAAATGGGGATGATAATAACAGCACCTGCCTGAGGGAATTGCTGGGGGATGAATTGAGATCATTCCGGGGGCTTAGCCCAGCACCTGGCCTGCCCAGGAGTGCATGTGGAATGGCCATTAGTTCTTGTCAGTGCTAGAAGAACAGAGCCAGAAGGGGCTTTGAAGGTTTCTCTGACCCAGGGGTCGGCCTGCTGCCTGTTTTGTTCAGAAAGGTCTATTGGAACGCAGCCTCACGCATTCTTTAATGATTGTCGGTGGCTGCTTTTAGGCTGTAGCAGCTGAGTTGACCATCTGGCCCACAAAAACTGAGATGTTTACTATCCGGCCTTTTACGAAAAAGATTGCCAACCCTGGTCTATTCCAACTCTGTTTAGACAGTGAGGCCCAGAGAGGGGAAGGGTTTGCCTGAGGTCACACAGCAGCTCAGTGCCCAGGCCGGGTCTCCCGCACCACCCTGGCCAGAAGCGCCAGGAGAGCTGGTGGCAGGAAAACTCACCCATTCTGTCCCCTCAGCAGACTCTGTCTGCAGGGAGAGGAGTGTAAATCCTGAGTTCTTGCTCCATTTCAGACCCCGAGATGCCTTGTCCTGTTCTATCCTCAGGACACCCCTAGTCTGCCTTGGCTCCCACGCATAGGGGCTCACTGGGGGCCACTCTCAGTGTTTGTAGTGATGTGGGGGTGGGGACGTCCTCCGCTTGGCAGGTGACGAGGCTGAGGCTCAGAGAGGGCAACGGCTTGTCCATAGTCCCAGAGCTGCTGCAGAGCAGGGTCAGGACTGACGGCCCACAGCCCCACCCAGAGCGTGACGTCGGCTCTTCAAGCTGTAAACTTTTAGCCAAACAGAAACACTCTCTCCGGAGGAGAAATGACTTTCCTTATGTTTCTTCATCTCTGCCCTTCTTTGGGGCAGGAAGCTTCAGTTGTTCATTCAACAAATATTAATTGAGCACCTACTGCGTTGCTGGAGGTACGGCGGTGAATAGAACACACCAGCTCCCTGTCCCCAAGGAGCTTCCCCCTTCCCTCCCTTCCTTCCTTCACTTGGCTTGGTAGAGGCTTAATTAATTAATTTTTAATATTTTATTTATGTATTTTTATTTTTGGCTGTGTTGGGTCTTAGTGGCGACACGTGGGACCTTTGTGGCGGCATGTGTGATCTTCCGTTGCGGCACGCGGGCTTCTCTCTAGTTGTGCGGGCTTCTCTCTAGTTGAGGCACGTGGGCTCAGTATTTGTGGCGTACGGGCTTAGTTGCCCCACGGCATGTGGGATCTTAGTTCCCCGAACAGGGGTTGAACCTGTGCTCCCTGCATTGGAAGGTGGATTCTTTACCACTGGACCACCAGGGATGTCTCTGAGGCTTAATTTATATAGAGTTAAATGCATCAATTTTATTTGTACCTGTTAGTATGTGTTGACAATTGTATGTCATCGTGTGACCACCACCTGGGTCAAGGTACAGAACCTATCCAATCCCCAGAAAGTTCCCCTGTGCCCCTTGTCAGGCACCTTCCCCCACCCCCACCCCAGGCAACCACTGGCCTTGTTTCCATCAGTATAGATTAGTTTTGCCTGCTCTGGAGCTTCATATAAATGTTATGAAGCAGCGTGTACTCCAGAGTCTGGCTTCTTTCCCTGGCATGTGTTGGAGGTTGAGCCCTGTCATCAGGCATGTATCTGTCTGCTCTGTGGTTACTGTGTGGCTGTGAGGTGTGGATGAACCACAGTTTCTGTGTCTAATCACCTGTTGATGGACGTTTGGGTTGTTTTACTTTGGGGCTGTTACGAATAAGCCTCTAGGAACATTCCCATACTTTTTTTTTTTTTTTTTTT